CAGGGAGAGAGAAGTGTTGCCCTGTTGCGGTGAGCTTTTGGCTTAGATTGGGTTAAACATGTATCAGCCCTCCTTTTGAATTTCATGAGCTGCACCTCTTACATGACTGAATTGGAGGGGAGGGAGAAGAATCCTTGTTCATCCAGAACTTCCCCCAGCCTTGCAGTGTTGTGTAGCTGCAGAGACATCCTGTGGCCAGATGAGGAACAGCCTGAACCGTGTCCCTTGTTCACGCCTCCGAGATCCCTTGGTTCTTAAACTATTGCCCTCAGCTGTGGCTGTGCTAAGAAACTGGAAATTTGATGAATTCAGAAACTGTAGTCACCATATGGTTCTTGTAGCAAGAACTTTGGGTAACTCGTTGTGAGGGAATCCAGTGGTGTTTTCCCCAGCAGCCTCAGGAGCAGCTATGATCTAAGCTGGGAAGGGCAAATCATCTGGAGAGAATTTGGATGGCTTTGCTTTTCCATCGTCCTGTGGCTGTGCCGGGCACTCTGCAAACATTAAAAGAGCATCTGTCTTCTCCAAAGCGCTTCTAATCTCACTTGGATTTAGCAATCTCTCTTGCCTGTCTCTGGAGATCAGGAGTCTGTTGTGCATGTAGGTGCTGTGAAAGGAAATCAGGAAATAGTTGTTGTCCTGAAGGGATTAGGGTAATCAAGGAGAGAATCCGGGGGAATCCATTCAGATACAGCGTACACACAGCGACAGAACGAGTGTGGCCCACTTATTCCAAGAGTCTTTCATGTCATAGCTTGAAGAGAAGCGAGTCAGAAGAAGAGGAAGCAGTGTTAGGGTGGGAGGTGAACAGGAATTACTTAGTCTTTCAGATGTTAAAAATGCAGAGGCACAAGGAGTGTATTTCGGATTCTTGAAATGTTTCTTCTGCTTGTGTTAGTTCTGTCACTGTTACTGGTAGGCAGGTGTGGGCTTGGTTTTAATTGTGCTGTAACTTGAGGTTTGTGCTTGATTAACACACTGCCTTACCGATAAAATGAACTAAAGGAAGGAAATGGATCTCCTTCCCCTGTCTCCTGTCAGCCCTATTGGAGAAGCTCTGGATGAGACTGCCTCCAAATCAGTGTGTGTTTACCTGTAAGATTAAAGACTTGTTGAGGAGTGTACTGGAACAAGTGGAATGTAAACAGAGAACAGAGGAGGAGCAGTTATGGATATAAATAAATAACAAAAACTTTTCCTATAAAATAGGGAGTGAACACAACTGGTCCTCTGTTCACAGGAATCTCTTTTGCTTTTTCAGATCATCATAAGGAAGCAGATTGCCAGGATTTCCCCACTGTGGCTGTCTGACCGCTGCTGATCTACCCCTCCCAGCCCATGTGGCTCTCCCCATGCTCCAAGAGTGCAACTGGTGCCCAACGCAATGTGTGTTTGTCAAACCATGGAAGTGGGCAAGTATGGCAAGAATGCCACTCGATCTGGAGACCGGGGGGTCCTGCTGGAGCCTTTCATTCACCAGGTGGGCGGCCACAGCAGCATGATGCGCTACGATGACCATACTGTCTGCAAACCCCTCATTACCAGAGAACAGCGCTTCTATGAATCTCTGCCCCCAGAAATGAAGGAGTTCACACCTGAGTACAAAGGTGAGGCCTGTTGTCACTCCAGAATGCAGTTACCAGCCCTGAGGTACCAGCCCTCTCGTTTTCCTGCAGCTACTGTTGTCTTGCGGTGTTATTTTATTTCTTGGTTTTAATTCTTTCTCTTTTGCAGGCTAGCAATTTGATAGGAGCACTTGGAAAGGAGGAAGTCTTTTTGTAGGCATGCAGAGCTTAATGTGCTTCTCTTTCTAGGCAGAGAATATGCAATGTGACAGTTGCAGTCTGAAGTTTAAGGTTACAGATGTGTAACTGAAGTAATTTTACCACCAAGTTATTGTCAGTTACAGCCTTGACCTTGAGCAAATGAAGTTAGATCATATACTGAGCATTTGCACGTTCCAGTCCCATAATTTATTGCTTCCTCATCCCATCTATTTTATGGGCCCATATCAGAAAGCTGCCGAAGCAGGAAGTGTTGCTTTCCCAGCGCTCAGGTGAAGCCTTGTCCCCAGCCACTTTGAAGGAATGGAATTTTCCAGTGTCTCTATTACTGTAGGAGGTCGGCAGCTCATCTGTATCTTTCAGAAGCTCGATGTGCTTTTGGCCATGTGTGTTTCCATTCAGGATGGTGACGCTGGCAGGTAGCCTTCTGGGGGCTACCTCTGCTTCTTTGTCACCAGGTGGCATTGGGAGGACAGTGCTTCACAGACATCTGGGACCACCATCTGTTCAGGGTTTTGCCATTTGATCTGGCTGCAGCCTGAAGGTCTCAAAGCAGTGTCAGCTTACCTGCCCGTGTCTGTATGCAGACCATGAATGAAAGATGCATTCACTGACAGACAGGTCCTCTTGTACCCTCAAGCCACTCTGGAGCCATATGGGGCTCTAGTGACCCATCAGAAATCTCAGCTGATGCCTGTGTAATTACTAGAATTGATACGATGTCAGGCTTTCCTTGTGACGTGTTTAAAACTGATGAAGCTGATAGTCCAGATGGAGTCAGAAACTTCCTGGCACCTTCACCCCAGTGTGGGACTTCATCTGAGAGTCCCGTGCAGTTTCCTTATAGTCACAGAAATTGTTCTTACTGTTCTGAGGGACGGGAATATTTGGGATGATATTTCCTGTCTGAGAACTCGGGTGTTACTGTAAGCTTGCCCTTCCACAGGGGTGTCATGAGGAAGCATGTCCAGGCAGCCAGAGCGCTTGGAGTGGCATATACGTAGTGACATGCTTGAGTCGTGAACTGCTCTGAAGTTGTGTTGAGCCACCTGAACCGTGTTAGTATTGTCGTGTGCAGATAAGGAAAAAGGAAGGACAATAACATTGTGGCCTGCATGAACTGAGCAGTGCAAGGTTTCCTCACGTTTGTGATGAATCGTTTGATCTGTGCATCTAGCAGCTGATACTCCTGGCAACTGTTCAATACCAGTGACAAGCTAATGAAAGATTTTGGCCGTTGCAAGCTGGGACATGTGCTGATAGCCTCATTTTCAGGGCTGAGGGAGTCCCAAAGATGAAGATGTCAGCCCTAACAAGAAGTGTCAGCTGTCCTGCTCTGTGGCTGGCCAGCTAAATATATCCAGAGTCTGTGCTGTGAAAGATCTATACCTTCCCTTGGACTATGGCGCTTTCCAGCATCCTTCAGAAGGTAAAACTGGACAGGACACAAATGGTCCTGCTTGACTGCATCTGGCTGAAGTAGTTTTACTTCCAGGACCCCCTGTTTTTAATGCTTGGGAGTTTGCAGATCCCTTTTCTGCAAGGCTGGCTGACTTGCAATAAGTGGCAGGTGTCACCTCAGCGCTCTGTTCTTCATACCTCAGATGCTGGAGAGCTCCTTTAGCAGGGAAAGTACGCTCCTCCTTCGCCAGCGATGTCCTTGTCATAGAATCACAGAATGGTTTGGGTTGGAAGGGACCTTAAAGATTATCTAGTTCCAACACTCCCACTGTCCATGTTGCCAACAAAGATGTTAAACAGCACCGGTCCCAGTACTGACCCTTGAGGAACACCACTCATCACTGGTCTCCACTTGGACGTTGAGCTGTTGACTGCAGCTCTTTGAGTGTGGCTGTACAGCCAATTCCTTATCCACCGAGTGGTCCATCTGTCAAATCCATGTGTCTCCAATTTAGATACAAGGATGTTGTGCAGGACAGTGTCAAATGCCTTGCACAAGTCCAGGTAGATGATGTCAGTAGCTCTTCCCTTCTCCACCAATGCTGTAACCCTGTCGTAGAAGGCCACCAAATTTGTCAGACACAGTTTGCCTTTAGTGAAGCCATGTTGGCTGTCACAAATCACCTCCTTTTTTCCTATGTCCCTTAGCAGAGTTCCCAGGAGGATCTGCCCCATGATCTTGCCAGGCACAGAGGTGAGACTGACTGGTCTGTAGTTTACCGCGTCTTCCTTTTTGCCCTTTTCAAAAATGGCAGTTACATTTCCCCTTTTCCAGTCAGTGGGAGCTTCACCAGACTGCTACGACTTCTCAAATATGATGGCCAGTGGCTTAGCAACTTGATCTGCCAGTTCCCTGAGGACATGCGGATGTCTTTCATCAGGTCCCATGGACTTGTGCCCCTTCAGGATCCTTAGATGGTCTCAAACCTGGTCTTCTCCCACAGTGGGCAGTTCCTCGTTCTCCCAGTCCCTGCCTTTGCCTTCTGTGACCTGGATGGTGTGGCTAGAGCACTAGTGACTCTGGTCACTAGTGAAGACTGGTGAGTCTTCACTTCACCAGTGAAGACTGAGGCAAGAAAATCATTGAGTACCTCAGGATTCTCCATATCCTGGGTGACCAGGTCACCCCTTTCCTTTCTGAGATGGCCCACATTTTCCCTAGTCTTCATTTTGTCACTGACATACCTACAGAAGCTTTTCTTGTTGCTTCTGATGCCCCTGGACAGACTTCACTCTATCTGGGCTTTAGCTTTCCTAACCTGATACCTGGCTGCTGGGACAATTTCTCTGTATTCCTCTCAGGCTACCAGTCCTTGCTTGCACCCTCTGTAGGCTTCCTTTTTCTGTTTGAGATTGTCCAGGAGCTCCTTGTTCATCCATGCAGGCCTCCTGGCATTTTTTCCCGACCTCTTCTTCGTTGGGATGTGTCTCTTCTGAGCTTGGAGGAGGTCAACAGGAGGAACACTTCTACAGGACATAGATACTTACCCAAATTAACTAGATACATATTTCGTATGCTTTGCCCCGTTCAACATTTTGGTAGACTGCTTTACTTTCTCCAGTTTGATGGCATTTGCTGCAAGACTGAATGGAAGGAAATAATCCCACCCCTCAGCCTACCAGCTGCGCTTTTGTCCTTAATTTCCTGTGGGTGGCAGAGCTTCCCCTGCTGCTGCTGATTGTTTGATCAGGTAGCGACACAGAGCACTGTTTGGGGGATTTCTCCTCTATGCTGTGCTAACAACATTTAGGTTCTTGTAGTCTTAAACCTCCTTTCATTGCTCTGAATTTGCTTTGTTGCTCTGTGAGCTATGTTTTCCTCTCTCCTGTTGAACATTTGGGTGCCAGTGGTTGTGTATTCCCTCTGCTGGGAAACAGAACTGACATGTCACTTCTCTCTGGCAGGTGTGGTATCTGTCTGTTTTGAGGGAGACAGTGATGGCTACATTAACCTGGTGGCCTATCCCTACGTGGAGAATGAGGCTGTGGAGCAGGATGATATGCCGGAGAGGGACCAGCCACGACGCAAGCACTCGCGTCGGAGCCTTCACAGATCAAGCAGCGGCACTGAGCACAAGGAGGAAAAGCCTGGCCTGGCCAGTGACAGCACTGAAAGGTAAAACTTTGAAGGCCAGGTGACAACACGATGAGCAAGAAGTCTCTCTTCCTGTTTCAGCTCTGGTGCTCCTTTTGTTGAGGAGGTTTTGCACTTCCATGCAGTAGCCAGACTGTCTTGCACTTGCTCGTCCCACACACTGTGGTACTGCAAACTGTGTCAGGAGTTTTGCCACGTTCAGGGCAAACTCATCCACGTGAAGTGATTCTGACACAGAATAACCCTTGGCAGTTTATTGGACGTGGAACCAAAGCGTGTGGAGCAGTTTCAGATGTTCTTTGCTCCACCTGCTTGTTAACCCAGAGGTTTTTTCCAAAGGTACTTTGAATATGGGTCTCTACCTCCTCACACCAGCCAGAGCTCCCTGAGAAACGCATGTTCCTGCTTACTCTCTCAATTACAGTACAACCTAGCAGATGTTAGACCAGAGCCTTGAGTGTGGGCCCACAGCTAGGGGAATTAGTGAGGATTTGCTGTTAAGAAGCTGGCAGGTGAAGGAACAGGAGATAGTCGTGTGCAAGGGGAGCGTATGGCAGCTGTAAGTATCTGGAGAACGCATGGATTCTAACAGGCGAGTTTGTTCTGTCTTTATACCAGCAGCATCCAGGAAACGAAGAGTCCCAGGGTGGACTTGCACATCCACTCAGATGTTCCGTTTCAGATGTTGGATGGGAACAGCGGTCTGAGCTCTGAAAAGATCAGCTATAACCCCTGGAGCCTACGCTGTCACAAGCAGCAGCTGAGCCGCATGCGGTCAGAGTCCAAGGACCGAAAACTCTACAGTATCCTTTGGGAAGCAGAGCGTGTCAGGTTGCTGCTGCCGCTCTGGCCTACATGCTTGTGCCTGAGACGGCTTATTTCCTTTGGCTTTCCCATCGTTCACACAAGAAAAACTGTATTAGATGTTTCTTTTTACTATTCCTTCCTGCTTCCCATACAGTGACACTAATGTCTGATGCTCAGAGAAGCCGTGTTTCTGACTAGATCCCATGCTTTTTTTTTTTTTTCTTCTGGGCCTTTGTTGCCTTGTGTTTTGAACGGTAGTTTTTCTTGTCAGGCCTTGTCCCGGCAGCAGATGCAGGTCTGCCCTGTTCAGGGGAGGGAGCTGTGTTTGTCCTTGTCACCTTTCTTGAGCCACTTCCAGTTCTACTGTATCCTTCTGGAGACAGTGACCAGACCTGCCCACGATACGAAAGATGCAGGTGAATCGGAGATTTCCACTGGTGTTCGATGCCGTTTTCTTTCCTCTCCCTCAGAATCTCCAACACACTGTCTTGTTCTAAATGCTGTTATGTTACCCCGAGATCCCATTCCTGACTGGTAATAGTTGTCTCAAAACACATTGCTTTACGCATTAAGGATCTTTTTCTCCTGATGTTTATCAGCTTGCATGTAAACTTTAGTGAATTTTGCCCATGGTTGAGTCAGTCTCATAAGAATCTTGTTGAGTTTTTCACAGCTGTTCCTCATTTTTGCAACCTTGAGTAACTTGGTACTTTGAGCAAATTTGTCATTTCGCTATTCACTGACTTTTCTGGGTCACTTGTTGAACAGCATGGATCTCCACACAAAGACCCTGCTGGCGACTTTGGCTGTAAGACCAGTCAGGCTAGTTTGTTGTTCCTCAGATCTCTGCAAATCAGTGTCGTGGTAGCCCCTGTTCAGTCTCCCCGTGCTAAGGCAGTGTTAAATGAGTTACACATCTCTTATTTTCTGTTTGACATTCGATCTCTTCTCTTGGCATTTCAGTTTGAGAATTCTCTGAACTCAGAAAGAGAGTTCTGGCTTGATAAATCCCCTAAACTCTTCCCCAGTAAACAAAGAAGCAAAATATTAATCTTACTAAATTATTAAATTAATCTTATTAAATTATTAATCCCCCTTTTAGGGGGTGTCTTCACACACCCTCATCGCACCTCCCGCCCCTGTAGCGCCTTTTGTACTTTGTCTTCACACTCTTCGGGCAGTCTCGCTGGCTCCTTCATATGGTTGAAGATGGATTTGTTATTTTCTGTGCCTTCGCAAATGACTCCTCGTGCTTTTGCCTTGAACTTGCCGGCTTGCAGGGTGTTCTTGTTTCACCTGCTGGAGCTTGATTCTGTTTTCCGTACATGGAAACAAACTTGCTTTTAATAGCTGTAACCTTCATCATTTTAACTGTGTGGGCTTCCTTTTCCTATTCTCAAACGTGTACTTTAACCCTCCAGCTTTTATTTTTAAATAGCCTGCATAAATTGCAAAGACGTAATTCTTTTTGGCTGTCCTATTCTTCTTAATCACACTTCCTTCTTTTTATGAAGTTCCTCTTTCAAAATCAAACATAGTTGCTGATAGATTTTTCTAAATGTTAAACTTCCTCGCAGGTTTAATCTGGCCGTGCTCTGGTTGCCGTTTCAGCGTATCGTGTTGAACCATGCCCCACCGGGCTACTTGGGGCAAACGTCAGGCTTGGTTTTTTTTCCCCTTTGGGACAAGCTGCTGCACTGATTGTTTCGGGTTTGTTCTCAGCGCTGTGCCCTGATGGAGGGTTTGCCCATTGTGCGTGCTGGTAATTGAAGGCTCCCGTAACTGCTCTGTTTCCTGCCTTTGTAGCCTCCCCGGTTTCCCCCCGTGTGTTGGGCAGCGTTGCTCTTCTGGGCAGGCCAATAGCAACAGTGCTGGGCTATTACTTGAGCTTTGAGTTTTCAGTCCGTGGGGATTGTATTGTTTATCCATATGGTTAAATTGCTAATTTGATTAGACTTTAAGCTCCCCCTTAATGTATCAGCAATTCTTACTGGCAGATTGTCTCTTTCCTGACACCAGTGGTCTGCTTTTCAGTTCCCCCTACTGAGTTTCCAGTGCGCCTTGCTTACTCTTGGCCATTCTCATTTCCAGGATGATTTCTTCTACCGAGTGTCAAAGCCCGGGTGCCGCTGTTGGACTTGTGTCCTCTTTTTGTTTTTTGCCTCCCCAAACAGTTTGTTCTCTCTGATCTTTGGTTTCCTATTTGTTTGTTGCTCAACCCTATCTTATACTACCCCAAGTCCCTGTCTGCGGTGACCCTGGGGAGTGATGTCGCTGACAGGTGAGCTCTCCTTGACGCATCTCCCAGAGTTCCTTTTGCTGGAGAACGTGGTGCATCACTTCAAGCTTCCCTGCGTACTTGATCTGAAGATGGGGACCAGACAGCATGGAGATGATGCGTCTGAGGAGAAGGCTGCTCGGCAGATGAAGAAGTGCGAACAGAGCACTTCTGCCACCTTGGGTGTGCGCGTGTGTGGGATGCAGGTAGGGATCCCCAGGGCTGCAGGTGCCGCATGTTCCTTTCGCAGCCCCATTAGACCTCCCAGTTAGTGTCGTCTGCTGAGCGCTGAGTTGCAGAGTCTTCCGCTTCAGGTGTGTACACGAGTGATCACACTGTGCGCTTTTTGTCTTTGTGTCTAAGCCTAGAACAAAGAAACCTGCTTCTCCCGAGATGGCCTGCTTCATCCAAAGCTGTTTGGCTCACAGACAATGAGGGGATTTTCTAATAAAATTATTTTTTGTGGCTCAGTGTTCAGCTAGAATCGCGGTGCCTATGGAGGGAGTTGTCCCTCTGTCCCAGCATCAGCTGACATTTGCTTCCATACTGTATTGGGAGTAAAGAAGTTGCCCTCCTCTTGAGGGCAGGCCCTGCACAGCAGGATTTGCCGCTGGTGCTGTTGTGCAATAGTCACTCCTTTCCCCACCCACAGAAGGATCTTGTAATCCAGATCTCTGCCCACAGACTCTGAAGCAATGAGGGCTCCTCATTAATCACAGGCCACATAATAACGGCAATACATGCCAGCAGCTCCCGCTGCCAGGGCATTGTCGGAGTTGCTGTAAGATGTGGCTTTTTAAGCCTCGGGGTCTGTTGTGTCATGCTTCTTGGGGATGCTCAGACTGACTAGCTGTTCTTGGGTGTCCTGGGAGAGAACCAGTGCTTGGGTGCCCTGGCTGTGCCTCTGGAACGCACCCACGAGCTGCTTTGGGATTCGGGGAACAGGCAGAGCTGTTTCCTGCTCCCTCCCGTGTGTGGTGGTGACAGGAGTTCCCTCTGCCCTGTTGGTGCAGGCTGTCTGCGTGTGGCCCTCACCTGGTGCTCCCGCTTGATCTGCATTTGCTTTGGCTTTCTAGGTCTATCAGCTGGACACGGGGCATTACTTATGCAGGAATAAATACTATGGACGCGGTCTTTCCATCGAGGGCTTCCGCAATGCCCTCTACCAGTATCTCCACAACGGCATCGAGCTGCGCAAGGACCTCTTTGAGCCTGTCCTCGCCAAACTGCGAAGCCTGAAGGCGGTTTTGGAGAGACAGGCCTCCTACCGCTTCTACTCCAGCTCCCTCCTCATCATTTACGATGGGAAGGACAGCAGGGCAGGGATGTTTGTGGAGCGCCGGCCGGAGATGCGCCTGAAGCGGGTGGACAGCTCTCTCCCTGAGAGCCTTCAGGATGGCGGCAGCACGGAGCCCGGCTCCTCGGCCCAGCCCAAGGTGGACGTGCGTATGATTGACTTTGCGCACAGCACGTTCAAAGGCTTTCGCGATGACCCCACTGTGCATGACGGACCCGACATGGGTTATGTATTCGGGCTGGAAAGCCTCATCAACATCATGGAACAGATGCGTGAGGAAAACCAGTAGCCCTTGGCTATGGCCTCTTATTCTTGTCCTGGTGGCAGGAGCAGACAAGACCACCTACTACCACAGGAAAAAAGCAGACAACTTTGGTTTTAAACAATTGTATTGCTCTGTTGTTTTTAAATGTACTTGGATAGAAGAGCTGAGGGGAGGCAGGATGGAAGAGCTCGTCATGCCGACCAGATGGTTCTGACCACACTAGCTCTGCCTTCTGGAGGAGGCTCTGTAGATGCCCTCTGGGTGTTGGGTGTCCTGGTTCTGCGCTCATCGCGTGTGCGTTCTGGAGGGAGGACCTGGATGTAGGGAAGAGGAAGGATGAGAGCACGGGGCTCTTCGGGGAGCTGGAGCTGTGGCATGAGGAGCCTCCTGCCTCAGGAGCCCCCGGGAAGACCCTTCCCTTTGAAATTCTCCTGAGTTATTTGGAAAGGGCGCTCGACTAACAGTCGGCAGCGTCTGTGGGGCTGACGGTGAGCAGCAGGGGCGCTGGTCCCTGCGTTTGGTGTCGCGAGCTCTGCCCTGGGTTTTGACGATGGGGCTTTGCTTTTGATGCTGCCTTTTTTTCTGCTGTTTGGGCACTGTGAATAACCAACCCAAACGCAGAAATAAAATGACCAAATGCAACCGACCCCTGGCAGAGCTGCGGCCAGGAGGGAATGCCGCACGCTTGGAGCTGTGCTGGAGCCGGCAGCCTGCTCCCTCCCCGAGGGGGTGGCACGGGCAGGCCTGTGTACAGGCAGGCACGGGGCTCTGCGGGCGTAACGGCCCTGGACCACTGACCAAGCCAGAACTCAGCTCGTGGGTTAGCAATAGTATCTGTAGCAGTTAACGTGACCCCAGCTGCGCAGCGGGGCGTTTTGGACCATTTCAACCCTTCCCACTGTGTAATGTTGGTCCCGCAGGTTGCACGCGAGTAGTGTCCCTCCAGCGTGAGGCTGCCCTCTCCCCCCCGCAGCCCCTGCCCTCCCCACAGGTCCGTGCATGGGGATGGTGGAAGCGGGGCACAGGGTTAGGGCTGACTCCCCTGCTCTTCCCTGGGGGGCTGCAGGGGGGGCAGGTGAGGGGGGGACCTGGCTGAGCAGTGAGTGCCGTCACCTGACTGTTCAGCTCTGCTTCATGGAGTCAGTCTGTCCCAAAATAAATGACCGGTTTGTGGATTAAACAGCGACCTGGGCTCCCTCCCGGAGCCGGTGCTTTACCCATGGCTTCCCTTGATGAGGGCATTAACGTTTGATACTGTGGCCTGTTGGTACCGCACCGTACCCCACTCTGCATCACCCCCCAATGTGCTTCTGTGCTGGGACCCCCGGTTCCTCCCTCCCCACTGTCACTGACACGTTCCGTGGCGTTACCATTACCCCACCTGCCTGAGAAACTGCCTGGGTACCTGCAAGGACAGGGTTAGTTGGTTGGTTTTGGATTTTTTTTTTTATTTTTTTTTTTTTAGCTTCAGGAAAGCTTATTTGGGGAATACTCTCCCTGCATGTAGCATGTGTGCACAGTCTGCCTGGGAAGCGTCGGTGCGGGCGCTGGGTGGGGAAGGGGGCAGGGGAGGAGATGGCTTTGTCCTGTCCTACATCGTACCTCTCTCTGCCTGTCCCCCACCTCCCCAGAGCCACCGCTCCCCTCCGCCTTTGGGGACGAGGACCTTCATTCTCGCCGCTCTGCCCCGCGCTGGGTTCCTGCTCCACGGCTGCCCCCCAGGCAGGGCTCAGGGGCTGTTCAGGGAACAGGTTTGTGGGACGGAGGGACCTGCGACAGCCGCGTTACCCGCCCTGGCCCATCGCAGCCCACCTTGTGCATGTCCTTGTCCCCGGCGGGCTGCGCTCCGGCAGGGCACGGGGACGGGGGCGTTCCTCCCGGGGACCCCCTCGGCCGTTCCCCCCTCGGTGGAGGGGGACCGCTGCCGCCTCGCAGCCCCTCTCCCTTTCCCTTTGGACCACCGCCGTGGGACTCCACAGCTTGTACATAGCCTCGACCCCCGTTTGTTTTTACATGGATAATCACCCTGTTTGTGCTTCACAGAGAACCAAAAACCATTAAAGGATCCGGTTTTGTCCGCGGTGTGCCGGGCCTGCCTTTTGCCGGGGGCTGGGGTTCGGTGGGGGGGTGGGTGGCGTCGGGCAGGACCCCTCTGCAGGTACCTCCAACGCCTGCCCTGCCCGGCGCGGGCTGCAGCCGCGCCACTTCCCTTTTTCTCGTCGGGGGCCGC